AGTGATGCAATGCTACATTTCTCCAAATCTGATGAAGATACAAACAAATCTGCATCTTGGATGGCCTGAAAATATTTTACATTTATGTGAAAATGTATTTTGCAGCCAAACCGATTCACATCTAGCATGGTAATAGGATGAGTATATCTGGAAATCTGGAGAAGCAGGGTGAAATGCTTGTATCTTTCCAGCTGTCATTTTCCTTTAAGATGATGTAAGGCTCATCTCCCTAAGAATGGTCTCCCTCCCCCGTCCAAAGCCTCTCTCTGCACGCTGCATTCATTCGCACTAAGCTGCTGATGCTCAGGAGAGTCAGGATGCACAAACTTCCCAGTCCACCCTACAGATCCTTTTACTGAAACGCTGGGTGGGTGCCAAGTACACGAAGACTAACTGTTCTGGACAGACAAGATTTCATGCAGGAGAAGCACTCTTCTGAGGGAAGTTGAAGCTGGTGCAGTTTTTCATTTTTTATAAGCAGAACTTATTTTTGGATTTTCAGCTGGAGGATAGCTACATGAGCTGCACAATTGGTTCCCTTGGGTGAGAGCTCTTCTATTTCTGCATTATTATAAATAGCTATATTTGTGGGGAAAGCCTAATAGTCTTACCATGTCGTTTTGACGCATTTATACTTTTATAAACACTCTGCAGGTCTCAGAGATGCTGTGCATAACACAACAGACTGTGCATGTCTATTAAAGCGCGTGCAGGTTATGTTCCTCTTGACTTTTTGCTCACTAAAAACAAATCAAAAACTTTTGCGTCTCCGCTTTTTCGTGTTTTGAAGCGTGCAACGCACCAAAATGGCCCTGACTGAAAATTGCAGGACTTATCAAACGCCCAAGGACAGTGGATGTGCTCAGAGTTGCTCTTCTGATGTGGTTGAGCTCAATGTAGGTGGACAGGTGTACTACACTCGCCATGCCACCCTCACCAGCGTGCCAAACTCTCTGCTGGGGAAATTATTCTCAACTAAAAAGGACATTTCCAACGACCTCGCGCAGGACATCAAGGGGCGCTACTTCATCGACAGGGACGGATTTCTCTTTCGATATGTGTTGGACTATCTCCGCGATAAGAGCGTCGTACTGCCGGATTATTTTCCCGAGAAAGGGAGGCTCAAACGCGAGGCTGAGTTCTTCCAGCTGCCTGAGCTCGTCAAAATCCTCACACCAGATGAAAACATCCACGGTGATTTTGACGAAGCATCCCAGGGAAGCGATCAGAGGTTGTTCCCCTCGTCTTACCTGGACGCGCGCGATAGGCGTTACGGCTTCATCACGGTGGGATACAGGAGCCCATGCGCCTTTGGGAAGGACACGGATGCCAAAACTCGCGGACTATCCAAAATCTTCATCTGCGGAAGGGTCGGTCTGGCCGAAGAAGTTTTTGGGGACACTCTAAACGAGAGCCGGGATCCCGACAGGCCAGCCGAGCGCTACACCTCTCAGTTTTACCTGAAGTTTCGCCACCTGGAGCGAGCGTTTGACATGCTCGCGGAGAGCGGCTTCCACATCGTGGCGTGCAATTCATCGCTCACCGCTTCTCCGCACAACAGACGCACCGATGACAGAT